AAATCTACTTCCTTTTTGTGACGTGGGTAATGATGGCAGTTGCTGCCTTCCGACATTTCCATGAATCCTTTCAGCCAGCAGCACTCGACATTGGAAGATGATGACCATGAAACGAACCACCCTAGATTCGTTCTCTTCTTCACACATTCATTATATCCTAGCTTTAGACTGCAGGGAGACCAGTCTTTCAGACGGACGTAAGTAGAAAAAGGATGATAAGGGAAGACTCGGAAGAGTCATAGTGTGCGCACTGTGCGGGTTTCCTTTTGTTTTCGGGTTTTTTTTTTTTTTTTTTTTTTTTTTTTCGGGGAAACTAGACCACAGTCAAGGTTTTCAGTTTTAAATGCGTTTCAGTCACGGTTTCGTGAATTTTACCCAAAGCGAGGAAAATTGTGAATGTATCCAACCCAGCTTTAGCGTTGGGTGGGGACGTGTTGTATTCAAGGGACGCCTGAAGTGGATTTAGAACTGAAAACGTGACTGCGCCGTAGTTACCTTTTTTTTTTTTTTTGCGTGTGTGTGTGTGTGTGCGTGTGTCTGTGTGTGTGCATGTGTGCATGTGTAAGCCGTCTTCTATTTCGGTGTGTTTCAAAAGCATCCTTCACCTGAACCTAACAGAACCTATCAGACTGCGAGTCCTGAACACTTACCCGAAGGTTCCGAGTTATATACAACAATTTGGAGTGCACCGTGGCCCATGGCCGCAGCCAAGGACCATGGCCGAACAGGCCTGTGATTCGATGCAATCCGGGGGCATCGCAATGCGAATGGGCTGTGCCCAAAGGTGCAGGTTTGTTACTATCGGGGCTGGGTGTGCTGAACCGTAGTTCAGGCGAGTCAGGCGGTATCACGTGGCATGGGTAATGCTATGTGGGCCGGGCGGTATCCTGTGACCAGGGGTCCCATACGGGGTGGGTCCTACCATGCAGACTGGATGGAACACACACACACAGCCATCTTATGTGAACCGGATGGTACTAACATACACACTCCCCCCCCAAAAAGAAGAACACAGACACTGCCACCAAAAAAAGAAAAAAGGGATGGGGGAAATCATCACCAACATCAGGCACAATTCGGCCCCTCCCACGGCCACACGGCGCTACATGGACTGAGCAGTATTATGTGGCATGGGTGATATTATGCGGGTTGGGTCGTACCACCACATGGTGTGGGTATGTGGAGGTAGTACTACATGAGATGAGGGTTGGGCGGCAGTATGTGGGATGGGTCATACTATGTGGAGTGGGTGGTACTGTGTCCAGGAGGTCGTATTATGTGCCCTGCGGTCCAGGAGGTGCCATGTTGGTTGGGTGATACTATGGAGGGAGAGTCATATTATGTGGAGCGGGTGCTACAGTGTGGGGGAGGTAGTATTATATAGGCTGCATGACACTAAGGAGGTTGGGTGGCAGTACGTGGGGCCGGTCCTCATATGTGGACCCCTGGTATCATGTGGTTTTGGTGGTAGTACAATGCAGGTAGGGTGGTACGACGCAGGCCGGTCATAGTGAAACGATTTCACCCAGTTGACCCAACATTTGCAGACACTGAGACTCGATCCCTAGACCTGTCCCTAAACCGTGAACATTGACCCTGTGTGCTGAGTGAGATTCGAACCCGTGACCTGTCCCTATACCTGTAGGTTACTTAGTAGGTCTGTCTGTTCACTGTTACTGCTCGATCCATAGCTCTCTGTGTTAGTAGGTTAGTATGTTACCGTTAGGCTTACTTAGGGCTCTTCTGGAAGTCTCTTCCTGTCTCTTCGTAGGCCTAAGGGTCAGCCCAGTCCGTAGGCTGTGGAGGTAGAGTCTAGAAGGTTGTAGGCCTGTCTGTTCAGGACCAGTCAGCAAGTACCAGGCAAATGGGGGTTCCACGGGGTGAGTTCCACGCGTTTTCCCAGGTTCCAGGCCCAGCATGCCAATGCGTTCTGGAGGTTTCCAGGCCCAGGGCCACACGGTTTGGGGCACAGGACCACGCAGTTTGGGGCCCCGGCCCACACTTTTTGAGTCAGGGCCAGGCCACCTGCGGAAGAGTATAAATAAAGAGGCAGCGATCAGCCATTCATTCATTCGCCTGTGAGCCATGCGGAAGCGCTGCCTTGGTCACTTGTGCCTGGAGGTCTGCAGGTGCCCGGAGTTGAAGTGGGCAATGAGGAAGGCGACGGCCATAGCTAGCCAGGAAGGAGAGGACAGCGGCTATACCTAGGAGGAGGAAGACGACGGCCATAGCTGGCCAGGAAGGAGACGACGGCGGCCATAGCCGCCCAGCTGCTGGCACAGACCGAGTGTACAGAGGGTGTGTGCATGGGTAGTGTGGACATTCAGGGTAGATCCTTGTACATGCGTGCATGAGGGGGAGTGAGGCTGGTGGTGGAGACTGTGTTCGGCGGCCATAGCGGCGAGTTGTACAGTTGACTTGAACAGAGTAGTGCAAGTTCGATGTTGATTCTGAGTTGAAAGAGTTTGGTTTGCCATCAGTTTCGTGTATGCATGTTGTAAGCAAGTTTGGAGTGCAGTCTGATTTCACTGGTATCGGAGCTGGTACCCGTTGTCCACGTCGGAGCTGCAGCAAGCGAGGAAGGAGAAAGCCACCGTAGCCAAAAAGTGACAGAGACAGAGAGAGAGAGAGAGAGAAGGAGGAGGACACAGCGGACGGCAGCCATAGCTGCCGAGCTCGGAGAAGAGGACGACCAACAAGAGAAGAGGAAGATGAAACGGTATTCACCAATTCGTGGTAGATGAGGCAGATCCCAGGGCTCGATCCCTAGTTCCCCAACTTACCTGTGTACAATACCTGCGTCAACTCGAAGAGTTGAACCTGCAACCTGTAGAACCGCCAGTGGTAGGTAGGTCTGTCGTAGGTCTATAGGTAGCCAGGATTCGATCCGTAGACCTGTAGATTAGAAGGCTAGCTG